GGGAAAATCGATTCGGGGGCAGAGCAACTCTGCAATATGCCCCCTGCTCGAACAATTGGCGGCGCCTCGATCGCCGGATCGCTCTGCGTTGGCGGGCCCAGTGCCTCGGGCAGGCTTTCCGTGCCACCAGCGGGCCGCCGCCGAGTCGCCACGGCACGAGCCCACCGCGCCCTCGAGGATCTGGAGACCGCAGGCCGCCCAGCCTCGCGGATCGCGCAGCTGTGGATATCGTTGAACCGATCCCCATCCCCCCCCCTTTGATGGGGATCTGGGTCGTTCCCTTCGGGTCTCGAGGGGTGCATCCCCAGCTGGGGTGCCATGTTCTCTGGGGGTCTCGAAAGGGGATGGGGATGGGGATGGGGATCGGTCAACCGACACCGCGGGTCGCGCAGCTGGCGGCTCGCGGTCGGCTTCGAGCCCCTGCGCAGGCCCCCGAAGAGCGGCTTTTCCTGTCCCAGGGCGCGAGGTGCGAGGGGCGGCGAGCTGGGCGCCCGTGGGGCGAGGCAGCGCTGCCGCAGTGCCGACCCTGCACCCCCAGGGCGAGTTGCTGGAGTTTTCTGTGGTGTATATATATATGTATATATTCATAGTCGCATATATGTATATACACACACACGTAGAGAGAGGAGAGAGACCGAGAGAGAGAGTTGTGTGCGTAGGCAGAGATGCTCGTACCGCGCGGGCCCTTCGGGAATGCAGGTTCTAGCAGGCTCCAGCTGTTGGCAAGATGCACATGTTCATACAGATGTGTTTCCACATATCGAGCATTGAAACCAGACCGCGGGCAGAGCAGGAGCGTACTGCCGACAAGGAAGGACCCAGGCAATTTCAATGCGAAGCCATGAACAGCAGCGCAAGGCAGTGGGCGCAAATCTCTACTATGCCAGTGTAATGCAAACGCTGCCATGGGAAAACAGAGGCAACGGCAATGCAACGGAATGCAACACAATACCCACCATTGAAATACCAAAGTAACTCAAATGTAAGGCCTTCACATGCAGCGCAATTGAATGTTAACGCAGTAACGCAACACAGGTTGAACCTCCCACGTCCGAACAATCCAGGCGCCAGGGACACCCTCCGAATTGTTGGTCATGTGGGCTTGCCAGAAGTTTGGGATTGGGATCGCGCCTGCATGGCAGGCTCGTGCTGGCAGCATGCGCTGCCGAGTGGCACGGCCCCCCAGAAAATGTGGAATAAGCCGCCACACGTCAAAGCTCCCGCGTCCCAGAAATCAAGGCGCCCAATACACCTTTAAACTTTGAATTGTTGGGCAAATGGGCTTGCCAGAAGTTTGGGATTGAGCTAGCGCAAGCACGGCAGTGTCGCGCGGGCAGCGTGCGCTGCCGAGTCGCACGCCTCAGAAGAAGGGGGGACGGAACTGTGGGATACGCTGGTCACGAGCTGTGGGATACGCCGTCAAAGATGGTTGGTTTGTTATATTTTTCCTGCGACGGTTGACGTGCGAACAGCTAGGCCCGCACTCCAGCCCGTCAAAAGGCAACCAACCCCGCTGACCGCATCACAATCGCGGGCGAGAGCAAACTGAGCTGGAGGGTCAAGTCCGTCACTGGCGGTCGCACCAACATGCTGGGCCCTTTGACCCAGGGCATCAATCATAAACTTACCAGTCGACCACGCCTTCAAAATGACATTCGCAAACTTGCCCCCGTCGTAATCTCATAGAACAGATATCCACTCCCAACCGGGCTCTGCGCTCTCCTTGCTGCGATTACCATCGCAAGCTCGAGCAATCTGCATTGCTTCTAACTTCATCATGACCCCAGCCGGCCTGTCCGGAAACTCCCTCGATGGGTCTGGGCCCGACGCCTGCGATTGCAACAGCCCCACGCCGTCCTCATCGAAAGCGTCGGCACAGCCCTGCGGGCTTGTTCACAGCCGCGCCAGCAACGCGACCAGCGCGAGCACCGCAAAGAGCGCACGGAGAGTCATCCGCGCAGCCGCGCGCGGCGACAGTTCCGGATGGCCTGGGATCAAAGTCGGTCAGATCTAGAGATCTATGGTAGAGTCCCTGCGGGCATCTTTGGACGCTAATCGGCTACTTCGACGTATGCTTGGACTCGCTTTTCGACCGAGCGACGAGTTGGAAATCCAAGAGATGCCGCAATTCTCAGTTGCCGCTGCCACCTGCTCGTTTCGACAGGCTGGGCGTCCTCGTGGGGAGGGCAGAGAGGGGGCGAACCACTGCACCACCCTCTTTGGATACAGGGCAGGACGCGACGGCTCAAGCCCTCAAGCGCACGAATGCAAAAAACTCGCACACCATGCGCACCGCGCATGCAGTGCACCACTGCTCGGGGGCATTAAAAACGTCCTGGCTTCCACCAGCCGTTGTTGGGCCGCCTTGACCCCTCGTGGGCGCATGTTGGAAGGGCCGCCCTGGACACATTTCGGGGCCATTGCGCAATCTGGGGGTCTCTTAGGTCTTAGGTCTTGAATCATTACCGGGTGACCCTGACCCTATGGAGTCACCCTGGACCGCTCTGGTTCCGTCTTGGGGGTCTTTGAGGCCGTACTGGACTCATCTTGGGTCGTCTCGGGGCCCTCTCTGACCTCTTAAGCCTTCTTGGCGCTCCACGGAGCATTGGAACTCTTTCGGGGGCTCTCTTGGGCACAACTTGGGCAAGCGCGGGATCTTTCCGGGAGACGTCTTGCGCAATGTTGCGGCCATCGTGGGGCTTCTTGGCCCGTCTTGGGCGCCTTGTTGACTAGAAGGACAACTGTGCGGATACCATGCAAACCCATACGGAAACTCAATGATTTCTGCTCTCTGGGGGCCTCTGAGGGGTCCTCTTCGGACCTCCTGGTAAGAGGAGGAGGAGGAGGAAGAGGAGGAGGGTGAGGAGGGTGAGGGTGGTGAGGAGGGGGAGGGGGAGGGGGAGGGGGAGGGGGATGGGGAGGAGGAGGAGGAGGAGGAGGAGGAGGAGGAGGGCCCTTTGGATTGTCTTCAGCCGCCTTGGAGACATTCTAACTGCTCTGGTGTCTCGGCCTTGCTGGTTTTCTATTCGTGCTCTCTTCGGGCACCCTGGCGCTCTCCACGATCACCGGACGTCTCGGTGCTCAGCGAGGACCACCAGAAGCCGGACACTGTGAAAAGCCGCCGTCCTGATCTGTGCGATACGTGCAGCTGCAGAGGCTACAGAGGAAGAAGCCCTTCAGGTGGATACGTGGGTCGTGGGTGGGTCGCGGGCGTGGGCGACGACAACAACAAAAACGACAGCAGCAACAACAACAATCATCTGATCTTACCTGCTCGCATGCCATTCGACACGTATCGGAGGTGAGGGGGTGAGATCGAAGTGGAACGGAGAGCCCCCCTACCGGGAAATCGATTTCGGTTTCGTGTTCGTGCGTGCCGTGCGTGCGGGCGAGGCGAAGCTGCGTGGGCGGGCGAGAAGAAAATCTCCTGCGGCTGAGGCGCGGCCGGACCAAATGATTCTCCGCCGGGCGGCCGGTGGCGCGCGGTGTCCCGCCGGTGTCCCGTGTGACTGAGGCGCGGCCGGACCAAGTGTCTCACTTCCGGGCGGCCGGTGGCCCGCGGTGTCCCGCCGGTGTCCCGCGGTGTCCCGCGGTGTCCCGCGGTGCCCCGCGGTGTCCCGCCGGTGTCCCGCGGTGTCCCGCGATGATGATGATGATGATGATGATGATGATGATGATGATGATGATGATGATGATGATGATGATGATGATGATGATGATGATGATGATGATGATGATGATGATGATGATGCTGATGATGCTGCTGATGATGCTGATGCTGATGTTGATGCTGATGATGATGATGATGATGATGGTGATGATGATGATGATGCTGATGATGATGAGGACGATGATGATGATGATGATGATGATGATGATGATGATGATGATGATGATGATCGAGTGAGATCGAGTGTGAGATAGATCGAGTGAGATCGAGTGAGATCGATTGTGAGATCGATTGTGAGATCGATCGAGGGAGATCGATCGAGCGAGACCGATACTGAGATCGATAGTGAGATCGATAGTGAGACCGATCGAGTGAGACGTTGGTCCCTCCCCCCCCCCGAACCTCCTTATCGCCCGGAGGGTGGTCGTATAGGTATTCCAAACCCTCGATGCCCGCCCTCTGCGTCCTCGATTGTATCCGCTTGGGGGTATATCTTCTTCAACTGCAACATGTAATTTCCGCAATCCCTGACGCAAGGCAAAAGGTGATGGAAGGAAGGGGAGGGAGACGGATGGAGCACGGGACTAGCAGGAGGGGGGCTAGGAGCAGAAGATAAGTGGCAGATTTACTTAGGGATCCCGTTATAGATCGAAACTTCCTTCATGATGGGTCGACCCTTTAGCGACCCGCCCGCTCGACGCGGCCGCCTGGGCCCGCCCGCCCGACCTGCCCGTTAGGGTCCGCCCGCCCGACACGCCAGGCTGGTTATGCCGCATGTGCTGATGTTCCGAATCCTCGTCCAACAAATGTCTCTATGGCACGCGAGCAGATAAGAGCGAGCACGGTTCATGTTCCTCAACCATGAGAACTCAACAACAAAGCAACAGCAATAGCAACAACGACAACAACATTTCGCTTCGCGGAACCCCACTTCAGCAACGCGCCCAATAACAACGAATGACCCCTCGGCCCACTCAACCTGATGAAGGTCCAAACAATTTGAAACATTGCGCCCTCTCTTGGCATCAGGCTTCCAAGGGCCCTCCGTGACGTCGAGGGACCTCTTGGGACTCCATGCGAACCTCCCAAACCTGTCAAAACGATATGGAACCAATCGTTTGGGGAAAACTGTCAACCATGCCAAACACACATTAACATAACGGCTGAAATTGACTACGCAAATCGCATGGAACGATCGGGTAGGGATGGGCCGAACCACCTGTGTGGGCAAACAAGAACGGGGATGGGACCCCCCCTGATTACAAAAACGGGTCCTGCCTACCCGGCCCCAAACGACCGCCTCAACTCAAAAGATTGCAACTGGACACGCCTCGCGATGCAGTCGTCCGACATCAGATGGGACTGCAAGAAGGCGGACTCGGCAGAGTACACGATCCCCGTGACCTCAGCAGCAGATCTTGGGTGAACGCTGCGACGAACAGTGTAAAGGCCCCCCCTGTCTCTGCCGATGCGCCCCCAATATTCGACCTTCCTATATGTAGGCGCGGTCGGCGCGTGTCCTGGAGAATCCTCCACGCAACCCGTACCTCTTACACATACCTCCTCTTTCCGCCGAATCATCCCCTCTCCTCCTTCTCCTCCGCATCATCTTCCCTCCTTCCTCCTCCTCCTCAAGATGAGAAGGGACATGAGGACGGGGAGGAGGTGAAAGAGGAAAAGGAGGAGGAGGAACGGAGGAGGAGGAGGAGGAGGAGGAGGAACAGGAGCACCCATACCTTGGACGTTTAATGGGGGGCCTGCTGCTCGCGACACCGTCCCCAGGATCTAAGGCAAAGCTATGCAAACGTGCGGGCCCAATGGGGCATCAGGGGAGACACGTGAGGTATCCTGGGACCTTCGGATCATGCCCGAAGACCCCTGATTGGAGGTTCTCTGTTAGACCCGGAGGAATTAACTTGCATGAAATGAAGGGGGGGGGCGTGGCGAGGCCCCCGAAGAAATCTAAACCCCACGCGCGTCGGGACACACTGGCGCGACGTTTCGTTTGAGCCCAGCGCTGGTTGAAACAAAGCGACGGGGAATGGGGACGGGAGGGAGGAGCGCCATGCAAGCAAACTTGCAAGAATGTGCATTCCACCGACGTTGCAACCATACATGGCAATACATATATATATATATATATATATATATATATATGTATGTATGGCTTGCCTGGGCATGTGCTCCTGCCCCCGCCTACTGCCTCCTGCGTGTTCATGTTCCTCCTGCGTGCTCCTCCTCCTCCCCCTCCTCGTCCTCCTCCTGCCTCATCCTCCTGCCTCATCCTCCTCCTCCTGCTCCGTTGCCTCCCCACGCCTCATCCTGCCTCCCGTTTCCTTCGCCCCCTCGTGTTCCTCGTCCGCCCTCCTCATCCTGCGTTTTCCCCGTCCTCCTCCGCTTGCTGTCCTCTCCTTCGCCTGCCTTGTCTTGATGCCGCTGCCTCCTCCTCGTCGTGCAACATGATGCCGCCACCTGTTTTTCTCCCCGTCCTGTCACCCGTCCTCCTCCTTCTACTTCCCCCCCCATCCTCATCGTGCCTCCTTTTTTATCTCTCCTCCTCACCATTTTGCGCCGCCTCCACTCCTCACGCCGATCAACATCAAAAGAAGAACGACAAGAAAAGAAAACAAGATGAGCAAACCGGGGGGGGGCGGGGCCAGAACGGACGGCCCCTGCCTCCGCCGCGTGCTTCCGCCACTCCTCCGGCGCCCCTGCTTTGAGTGACCAAGGTGTGCTGATATGGTGGCCTCAGGGCCACGGGAGTTTGCCAGCCGTCAAGGTCCTCACGTGGGTCTTGGAAATCTTACTGCAAGGCTCGAGCAATCTGCGAGGGGTCCCGAAAGCAGTATGTGCCGCTCCTGTTGACAAGAAAAATTAGAAAAAAACAAGAAAAGAAAAAAAAACTATCCTTGTCTCAAGGCATCTGGAGCCCACAGGCGATGGCCTTTTTGCCGGGACCGTTCCGAGGGGTCCCCAGGGCCAGTAGACGCGGAGTTAGAGACGCACAACAACTGCTGCACCCAGGAGGCCTGGCAAAATTGCGAACACATGCGATACACTGACATTTGGTGCCGTTCCAGCGGCGAGTGTGCAAAGTACCTGGGGACAGGGTCTTGGGAGCGCGGGCGCGGGCGAGCCTACATAAATCCACCATAAAACTCCTTGGACCCCAGCCACAGATCTAGCATACTGCACATCGCTTTGGCCACTTTGAGCCATCTGTCAAAAGGCCAGGGAAAAGCGCAGCTCGATGTCTTGGGCATGCGGGTGCATCAGGGCCCCTCGTTTAGCATACTCATATGCCAGATCATTCCCTTTGGTATTTAGCAGAATGGCGGGGTCGGTCTCATCATCTGCCTTCGAGTGTGCGTTCACCTTCGTCAGTGTCAGGGGTGGGTAGATTCCGTCGTCCACTTTACGCCAGATATATGCAGATCTGGTGGTCCAGTCGATACTCCTGCGAGGTAGACCCACCCCTTTTCACCAGGGCAGCGCGATCTACCCTGGCGGCAAAGAACGGCAACTTCGAATCGGCTTGCATCAGCCCGCGAAGCACCGCCAAGTGTTCTGGCTGAGGAATCCTGGAACTGGCCCGAATGTGGCCTTCTCGAAGGAGCCCGCCTGGTCGGTTGCGATGGCTGCCCAACCCGCTCGCGAGCCCCCCCGAGCTGGAACATTGAAGTCCGAAACAGCTCCCATCGAAGAAAATATGGTCCTCATTCCCGAAAATAAAAGGCCCCTGGGACCCATGCTCGCCCAAGTACTCAACAACCCGTCCATGAGAGGCGGGGCCCGCCGCTCGGGAACAGGAGCCCAGATGCGTCCGATGAGCGGGCCCCCAGGCGCAGCAGAAAAAGCCTCCCGGAGAACGCCCCGACCGACGACTTCTGATCTTTCCGCGCCCTTGGCGGGGCACCCCCATGCGCGGCGCCGCGCCGAGCCCGCGCCCATCCCGCACACGGCGCAAAACGGCGAGAGCCGGCAGCCCCAGCACCCCCCCCCATCACCCGCGCCCTCCCCGTACTGTACTGTACTCAATGGAAGCAGCTGTCGAGTGCCAGCCGCCCCAAACACAAAAACACACTCACCCAGTAACGTGTGACTGCGGAGCGGGTGTCACCAGGCCATACCTTGAGAGGAGCTGGGCAGGGCTCCACTTCTCCTCCCACAGGCCTGGATCAGCAGCTGCATGATCATTGTCATCAGCTCGCCTGACCTGGATCCCTCCGTGCGCGGCCCTGAGGAGGGCCAGCAGGTCCAGGGGGGCGGGGAACCATGCCCTGAAACAGGTCCACCCTGCATACTGCTTCGCCCACGAGGGAAACTCACCACGCAGAAACCTCGATCTTTGTCGTTTGAGGTCCTTCGTCCTCGGCTGGCCGACACACTTGCCAGCAAGGGACATGACCCCAGACCATGCATAACCTCCACACTTCAAGCAGCAAGTCACCCACCCGCCCCCAGCCGCCCTCCCAGCGTCCCTGACAAAAACCTCTGCTTTGCAAAGGTTGTGGCCCTGCAGCCTGGACAGGAGGGTGGTCTCGCATAAGACCTCATCTGTTAGGCCTTCGGCCGTATCAGAGAGCAGGGGCACCTTGAAATCAACGCGCGGCGCCCACCTCCGACGTCCTTCCTTGCAAAGGCGTGCAAACTGCCTGACAGAAGAAGATTTGGACGGCTGCAACTGGGGCTCGCACACGTTGCTTCCTCTCACCTCAACGGGCTCAGGGAAGCCAGACGAGTCCTCCCAGCCTCTGTCAGCCATCATGACATCTTGCATGCTACCCCATCTGAGCAGCTCGCTCTGGTGCTCAACCAGCACAGAGCGGATTTCCAGGAGCTGCTCAGGCATAGGATGGCACACAGCTCCAAGCTTAGCAAATATGTCGGCATGCTTATTGCCAAGCCGCTCAGCTTCCGTGCAGCACCCATTAAGCACGTCTCCTACGCTAGCATGTCCCTTAACTTTAAACGCAGACAGCCCATTCTCAAAAACATGTCAAACCTTGGTCCAGAGATGGGCCCGAGGGTTCTGGGAAGAGCAGCTACTGGCCCTGTCCCAAACACAGCCGAGGGTCCCCTGGCAGTCAGTGGAAAACGTGTTATCAGAAAACGGTTCTACCAGCTCTGACGCCACTCTGTAGGCGTAGTCCTCACCGTCACGGGCCTGTTGCCACGGGGCCTCCTCTCGAGGCACGGGCCCATAGGCCGCCGAAATCACATCACCGAATTCATTGGTTTGGACCAAACTCCACCCTTCTCCTCGGATATCTTCGCACTGGGGGTTGATCGCAGAGCCATCAGTGAAGATTCTACCGCTGAGCCTACCTGAGGCCGGCCTGTTGAACCAGAAAACTCTACACGCAGGCAGGGGGAGAGGAGGAGGGATCAGCTCTCGAGGATGAGGAAGCACCCCAGCAGCATATTTCTCCAGATCCTGACCCCATTCCTTGGCCCTTCTCGCAGCCTCCGAACATGCGGCAGGTACGTATTGACGTCTATCTCCGTCAAAGGCTTCACACTCGAACCTCCTATGAAAAAGAGTGCCCTTGCTGGCGTGGCACAGCTGGCAGATGTCGTCATCGGCCAGCCCATGGTCCTTAAGGCGAGCCTGAGTCCAGGTACCTAACGCGAGCGAATGTTTCATACACGCTTGGTGGTGTTGTCCCCAGACGTGCTTACTCCCAAGCTTCAGGAGGTCTCTGGCCCCTTCCCACAGAACAGGTCTGCACCAGACCCCGTTGAGCTTAGGCCTGAGAAGGAGAGCACGTTTGTCCGCCCAGTGTCCTGCATCACGCTGCGCAAGACTGCTGACCATAACAGGCGATAGAGAGAGCAGGTCAACCACTTCACCTTGAGCAGTCGAGACCTGCCTTGCAGATGTAGGCGTCCAACCTAGCTCTCGCAGGGTGAGCAAATATACATGTGCTGGGCTGGTACAAATATTCCAAGGTCTCTTGACCTGCCAGAGGTCGTCCACAGCTTTCTCAAATACCAACTGCATAACATCCAGTCCAGGAGACCCATCCCAAATCGCCCTACACCACTGTAAAACCACATTTGTATGGTAAATAACATAAGGGTCCATACGGGCTCCCACAGGGTGTAGCCTGAGCCTGAACGACATGAGGGCCCCCGACTTGTCCTTGGTCAGACTGCGGGCTGCTGCAAGCCTCATGGCATGCAACTGCTTGGGGCGCAACCCTGCCACCGCAGATCCCCAGAGTCCTGCAGCTCGGGGTCCAGCACGCTGAAGGTTGCCCACAAATGCTCCTGCATTCTTCAGTCTCAACAGTCTTCTGGACCGCTTAGACGCCTTCAAAAGCCTAGCACGCGCAGTAGGGTTTCGCCGTAGGCGTCTCGCCACTGCGTCACAACCTAGCGAACGGACCGCAACTTGTGAC